CCTGTAGTACTGGGGATTGAGCCCAGGACTTTCGAACTGAGGCAGAATGAAAATTGGTCACATAGGTGACAACCCTGTGCAACAGGCCTGACAGTGTTGGGAGGATGAGGAGAGGTGTTGTGGGCACCAGGAGAGAGCCATCACCCTGGACGCAGTTCAGAAAGGCCTGAGTTAGGGGTGACATGTCCGAACCTGGCTGCTCAAGGTGAATTAGGCCCCTGCGGTGAGGCGGAGCTGTGCTGAGGCAGGTTAGGGTAGCACAGGGACCGGGTTAGATGATGTCTTGGGTGAGATGGCGGAGCCAGTTGTGTTTTCCAAAGATGCCCATGGCAGAATCTGCAGCCCAGCTGCTTGCATCATACCACATGTCCGGATAGACTTCTGTGACGGCCTAAAGAACACAGTGGCCGAGACACGACGTCACTTACAAGAAGACAACAATACAGTCTCCATTCCGCTCTCTGTTGGGTGCTTGCTCTAGAGGCCACTTGCCGGTGTGGCTGAGGCGCTAGGTAACAGCGAGGCCCTAGCGAACAGCCAACACGGACCCCCATGCAGATGAGCAAGAATGCCAAGACGACCCCAGCCCCAGCCCCATCTGCTAAGATTGCATGAAAGACCCTGAGCGTGGACCACATAGAGGCCAACCTTCAGAACCTCAACACTTGGTAAGACTGAAGGGTGCGGCTGTGCACGACTAAATCTGGGGTGGTTCATTCATTGCAATTGACAACTACTGCTAGTTACCAAATAGTGATCAAGGACAGACGTTTCAGGCCAGGGAGAGGTGTGGGTGGGGCTTGAAACTAGACTGCAATAAGAAGGAGTTGGCACAGGGCAAAAAGTGAAAAGGAAAGGGAATGGAGGAGGGGAGGGAATAGGAAAAGAGAGGAGGGGAAGTGAGAGAAGTGGAGGGGAAAAGATAGGAGGAGCTCTGGAAGGAGGGAAGCTGGGAAGGATAAAGAAAATACTGTGTGAAAGCAGGAGAGCAGTCCCACATTGACCACTAGATGGCAGCACATCTGCAGCTACGAAGCCCAGGCCTGCCTCCAGCTCCTGAAGCCACAGGTGGGCATCTTTCTTAGCAGAAGTAGCCCACTGGGCCAAGAACAACCTTCTCTATATCTCCTAGAAGGCTTCTGGTTAGAAGTGAGAGAAACTCCAACTCAGCTCAGTCTAGACAGTAAAGGAGACTTATTGGTGTGGGAAACCAAAAAGTTTTAGCAAAAGGGTCGATGGGACAGACACTGTGAATTGCTGACCTAACAGCCAGCTCCCCCATTAGCCTTTTTTACAGGTCCCTGATATTGGGTTTTTTTGGTTGTTGTTGTTGTTTTGAGACAGGGTCTCACTATGTGTTGAGACTGACCTGGAACTCACTATGCAGCCCAGGCTGGTCTCGAACTCTCAGCGATCCTCCTGCCTCACTCAGTCCCCCCAAGTGCTGGGATTAAGGAGACTGACGGAACTCACTATGCAGCCCAGGCTGGTCTCGAACTCTCAGCGATCCTCCTGCCTCACTCAGTCCCCCCAAGTGCTGGGATTACAGGCATGTGCCACCATGCCTGGCTCCCTGATGTTGTTTGGACTGTAAAGAGTCCAAGGAAAGCAGGCCCCTCCCCAGGTAGGACCTCTGGCTGCACTGTTCCTCTCAGTGCCAGAAAGAGGGTCTTGGAAAAGGCTGGTGCTCCCGCCCATCACCATGACAACACGACAGAGTCAGAGCCCAGGGGAAGATAGAGCTGGCAGTAGGCAGAAGTGAAGATGACACCTTAGTAACATCCCCAGGAAATTCTGTCTGGAGACCCTTTCAACAAGATAAGGCCACATAGGGTTAACTGGTATGGTAAGCTTTGGGAGTTTTTAAGTTTCCTGGCGAAGTGGCCACTTCACCAGAAAGAAAAGTCTGAGGGAAAGTCATGGCTAGAAAAATCTCTGCTACCTCTCACTTTCTAGATGAGGAAACTGAGGCCAAGAGAACACAGCCAACATGTCCTACACCACACAGGGAGCCACTGGCAGAGCTGGGCGTCATGTGACTGGTGTGACCTCGTGCTCTCTGTGCTATCAGTTGGTCCTGACTCTTTTAGGTTTGACTCTCTGCAGGCATCAGGTCTGACATGTCTGGGACCCCCAGGGACAGGGAAAGGCGGGAGCTGACACAGTCTGCCGAGCAAATGCTCTGAGCCTCTGCCCTCACCACCTCACTCCCAGGCCATGATTCAGCACTCAGTTCAGCTGGACAGCGCCATGGTCCTGGGGATCCTGCGTCCTTCGAAATGTGAAGGGCTTCTGAGGTGCCTCACAGCTTCAAGGAGAGGACAGACTTCCGGCTTTGGTGGTTTGCCTAGGATTGCTGCAGATGCTAACATCAGGTAGGTGGGCTTTAGGAGGCAGGACCTGCTGTCCCGCTGTTTGGAAGGCGCAAACAGACAGATAGAAGGTCTCATTTTCTACCTTTGTTCTCTGGTCTGTCACTCTCCCATGAGAGAGTTTGAGTGCTTGGCCAGATCAATCTTTACTGCCTTTTGGAAATTGCAGGGTGCTCTGCTGCTTTTCCAGCCATGTTACTGGTCACCAGTTGAAGTGACAGCTGTCACTTACTGGCTGAAGCATTCGCCTGCCAATTTGAGGACTGTTTCAGACCCTTCCTCCACTGCATGGTTCATGGAAACACATTGAGAAGCTGGGCCCCTGAGACTGAAATGGCCTGGGTCGTGGGTCACGGAACGGAAGAGAGACACCCTGGAAAGACTTTGAGTGAGCAGTAAGCTTTGTGTGTCGATCCACTAATGTTTGGGAGTCCTTTGTTCATGTTCCAAAGCCTTGCCCAGCCTGATGAGTTCCCATGGCTTTCATCATAGTCTAGCAGTCACGTCTGCAGTCAAGAGGGTTGAAGATGCCACTTTTGAAAGATGTGTTCTCCAATCCAGCCAAGTTCCTGGCTCTGTCCCCTCTGCCCTGAGCAAGGACAGGAACCCAGAAAGTCTTGCCTCCCTTTGCACCTCCACGGTGGCTGCTGGAGCAGCATCTGTTGCCAGCACTGGATCCTGAACCAGCTGTTAGACGGAGGCAGCATGCAGCACCCTGCAGGGGGAGGTAATGTTTAGTTTATCCTGGCAAGCAAAAGCTTGCTGGGTTCCCAGGAAAAAAGATCTCCAGATCCCTGACACCTCCTCCCACCTTATTCCATCTCTGCAAATTAAAGATCTTATTAAAAATCGTACTCCAATCTCACCCAGGTAACAGTTGGTGGGTGTGACCATGTGGCGGCCCCTGACCACCACCAGCACCACCATGGCGTTGCCCGCCACACCCACGGCACACAAGAGGGGCACCAGGGTCAGAGTCACCGCCTGCACAGCCAGCGGAGCCCGGGGCATGGTGCCCAGGCCGGACAGGTTCACGCGCTCAGGGGGCCGGTGCTGTTCTCCATGGGCTGCAGAGCCGCGCTCCCCGCCACCCCGCGGGCTACTGGAACGGTCTCCTCCCAGGGAGCTGGGGTCCACAGCTGAATCCAGATGAACTGGTTCTTTCAGCTGGAGTAGGGTCTAAACCGCGACCGCGCAGGACTCGCAGGAAACAGGAACTGCGGTAAGAGGCGCTCAGTTTTCAGGAAGACTTTTTATCTTGAGTTGGTGCGATCTCTCCCGGGTTGGGGTTTATTCCAGAGGCGCGTTCTGGACGGTAGGGTTGCTTTCTAGTCCTAACCTGACGCCCGGCTTCCGCCTCCCCTAGCATGAAACCCCTGAGCCCTTCCGGTCTCACCTCCGCTCCAAAATTCAAAGGGCTTCCCGGGTTCCAGAACCGGGCTGTCGATCAGCGAAGTGGCCGTAAGTTTCCGTGGCCGCCTCGAGCTGCTCCTCGTCAGGGTTGCTGTGTTCCCTCCGCCGAGACCGTCGCCTCAGCCTAGCATCTACTTTCCCCATCAACTTGTGGCCCTGAAGCCTGCACGGCCTGGGTCAAGTGGGCTGTGTGGGATGCGGAGGGAAAAGCGCACTGCCGAACAGAGCAGTGTCCTGGATTCTTCTTTCGTGCTCTCTTCCTTGTTCTGCAGGAGGAGCTCCACTGGGCAATGCGGGGATGGGGCTGGCGAGCTTCCTGACACAGTCTGGGACCTCATGGAGTCCTCACTGGGAGAAACCTGAGCCCCGCTGCTGGAAAAGGCCATCTGGATTCTGGTCGGTCCTCTCTCCACTTAAACTTGCCATTTTCTTGCCACCTTTTGAGGTTCTCCTCTCTACCTTTCCCAGTTTTCCTTCCTCCTAAAGAAGAATAGTAAATTCTTGAAGGAAGCACCCCACATTCCACAGGGACCTCTCCCATCTCGAAGGCTGCCACTCAAAAGGCTCAAACCAGGAATGTTAGGAATGTTTAGCTTTCTTGGTGCAAAAGCCGAGGGTCTTGAGGGTCTTGAGAGATGAATGAATGAATGAATGAATGAATGACATTTTCTGCATTCAAAGATGCTTCCTGAAGGCGGGTGGGACCGCACCAAGCTTCAAAATGGTGTGAACCACAGCCTGATTTCCTGCCCACACTTAGGTGCTGAAGAATTGCTCAACATGCCAATCCATCAATCATGTTCTCTACAAATTCTGTCTTCATCTGTAAAATGAGAATTATAATAAGAGAACTCACCTTGACCCTCAGGAGGCTTACATAGGAGAGATGGATACAATTCATGTAAAATGCTAGCACTGGGCCCAACCATGGCAAGGGGTAGATAGGCTGGCAATTATACTTATGGTGTATATGTGTCTATATCCCTTTCTCCTCGCTCCTTAGAGTCTGAGCACCATTTGGATCCAAACCCTCCATCTAAAAGGTCCTGTAAATGGCAAGAGATGAATTAGAGAGAAATCAGGAGAGGAGTATTTGGGAGGCACCAGCCAGAGTCTAGGGCATCCCAAGTGTCAGTCTGCCTAACAGTGGTGGCTCTGTGTGTGGAGAATATTATTGCCTGGTGATGCTCATTATGCCTTGCATGTATTAATCATTTTATGCCCACAACGCTCACAGGCGAAGGTTACCATTTCCATTTTAAAGATAAAGAAACTGGCCCAGAGTGGGTATGTAAATTGTTAGGGATATAGGTTAATCAGGAGGGGAGGGTGTATGTGCTGGGATTTGAACCTGGTATCCCTGCTATGGAGCCCAAGTCCTCACCACGCTACATTGTCTTTCTGCACCATGCCGTTCTCTAGGATCTTTAGCAGTAACCATAGCAAAGCTCCTTACTCTGGCCCAAATACCATGCTGCGCTATCTCCATCTCCTCCAGCTCTGCCCAGGCAGGTATTATGATGCCCATTTTATAGAAGAGGACATTAATGCCCAGAATGAATGATCACATGGTCAGGGGTCAAACAGGAAGCAGAACCCCCAAATTCCCAACTTTATGCGCTTTGCTTCTACCCTAGCCCCACTTGTCCCTTACTCAGATCTTTCTAAAGTAGCAGGTGCCAGTGAAACCCAGGATGTCCCTTCTCCAAATGTGGCAGTGCTCTCTGAGCATGGACTAGAACAACCCTTTTACCCATATTAATGGCAAGTGGCTCCTTTGGCTTCTTTCATGCTAAGCCTTCCAGCTTTCACTCCTGCCTAATTGGGCTGTTCAGTTGCCAGCAGTAAGTGGCAGAGCTTGGCAATGGATTAAGCAGGTCTAAAGTGGCTCTCTATTTTGTAATTACCTTACCATCTCTAGTCTTCCCAATTTAGCAAAGGCACCACCATCTACCCTAGAATTATTATTTCTCTCTCTCTCACCATTGATGTTCAACACTTAACTTCCTACATCTACATTGGTATTGGTCAGCTTTTTGTTGCTGAGTCAAATATTGAATATACACAATTTAAAGAAGAAAATGGCTTACTTGGCTCACGGTTTCTCAGGGTTCAGTCCATAATCAGTTATCTCCAGACACAGAGACATCACAACAGATGGGCATGGTGGAAATAACACTACTCACTTCATGGAGGCTAGAAAGCAGAGAAAAAATGCTGGAGAGGAAAGGGTTAGAAATCAGATGAAGCCCCCAAGTCACAGCCCCATGACCCACCCGGACATACCTAGAAGTGTGCTTTACTTATCTGCAAGGAGTCTATTAATCCAGTCAAGTTGACAATCATGATTAATAGTCACAACATCCAAAATATATCTTAAATGAATCTACCCTTAACCATTATGTAATCTACCATACTTTTTCATCCATAACCTCTTGTTGGGATAATTGAAAAATTTTCCTAGTAGGTCTTTTAGGTAGACACATTCTTGCTCTTTGCTTTAGGATCCAGTTTCCATGTAACACCAAGTGGCTTTTTAAAAGCAAGAGCCACTCTCCTGCTTGAATCCTTCAGTGGCATCTTTCTCACTTAAGAGGAATCACACTCTTCACACAAGCCCTGCCTCTCTCTCTCGCTCATGGTACTTCAATCATAGTTTCCGTCTTTCTTCTTAGATTGTGTGGCATACTAGTGTCCTCTCAAGCCTATTTGGAAATGAATCCTTTAGAAATGTACATTCATTAGTTAAGTTAAGATGAGGTCAACTTTAGACTGTCTAAATCCAATGTCTCAAGTCTTTATAAAAGAAAGGAATAAGAGATTCAGAGAGAGAAAGAGCTTCAGAGAGAGAGAGAGAGAGAGAGAGAGAGAGAAAGGGAGAGAGAGGGAGAGGGGAGATATTCACAGGGAAGAAGACCATATAGAGACAAAGGCAGAAATTAGAATGATCCAGCTGAATGCCAAGGATCACCAAAGATTGCCAGCAACTGTCAGAAATTAAGAAAGGGCAAGAAGGAGATTTTCCAAAGTCTTCAGAGAAAGAAGGCATGGCCCTTGATTGAGGATTTCTAGACTCCAGGACAGTAAGAATAAACTTCTGTTACTTCAAGCCACTCATTTGGTGGTACTTTGTTCTGGTGGCTTCAGGAAACACATGACAAGCTCTTTCTTGTCTCTGTCCTTGTACTGGCTTTTCCCTCTCCCTGGATCTCTCTCCTGGCTGTTTCCATCTCACCCATTCTGGTCTCCATTCAAATCTTATCTCTTCAGAGATACCTTGCCCAACCTCCCTAGTGAAAGTCATTTTCCTGAGTTTGTTTGTATGACAATGTCTTCTTTAATTTTCTTTCTATGATTTGCTGATCAGGAATTTCATAGATTTGGGGGGTAAATGTACGTTATTTGTCTCATACCAAGAGAATGTAGGTTGCATAAGAATCAATACTCAATACCTAGACAAGAAACTTATCTATGGGAGCAATTCAATAAATATTTATTGTTAAATATACCCATCCAACAAAGACTCAGAATGGTCAAAAAAGGAAACTTGTCCAGACTTGTATGACTAGGAAGTCAGAGTTCTTTTTTTTTTTCTCAGAGTTCTTATTTAAACACAGGTTCTCTGACTCCAGAGCCCATGCTCATAACCACTGTGCAAAAATAACTAACTTCGATGCAAGGGAGAAATAGAATTTTAGATGGGGTCCATTAAGGAAAGACAGACCCCCCCCAAAATTTTTTTCACTTTAGTTTTTGGTGTTAGGGTAGAACAGAAATAGCTGGAAGATGAGGTTGGATTCGTGGAGAAGGTCTGACCTGGAATTAAAGTCTGACTTTAATTTAAGGCCAAAAGAAATTCGGAGCAGAACCCTAAGGGGCTGTCCCAAGTTCCAGGTGCTGAACAATGTTGGATCTTGATGAGCCACCTTGTGGGTTTTGTGTTCAAATCATGCATCTTGGCTACTCAGATCGCTTCTCATTACCCCACCCCACTGGAGTAGCTCACTCCTCAGTGCTCTGCTTCTTTCCTGAACTGGACTGGTGAGTCTGCTAAACCACTGACCATCTGCCCTCTCTCCTGCTCCAACTTCAGCCTGGTTGGGCAGAGACAATTCCCTTTCTCAGAATATCTATGAATAGATTTTGAAGACATTTCAATCTGTTGGAACACGGTAGGATTCAGTTTAGAAAAAAATAAGAAAACTGAGCATGGATCACTAGTTTAATGCTTGATCTTCTCTCTGAGCATGTGGAATGTGTGACTCGCTTTCATATCGGAACTTGCAGGAGTTTCAGCTCTGCTGAGCCCCTTGTGGGAACTCCCACTGGATCTGCACTTGGTGAGGCCACACTGTAGGCCTTGGCTACAATATCCCTCCACCCCTCCCTGCAGTGAGGCTCCTGGTAAGGTGTCTCTCAGCCACCCACTCTCTACCTTTCCCCAAAGGGCACAGCGACACTTCTGGATCCCATGTATGCCACTGAGGAATCAAAGGACACTTGATCATGGGCCACTCTGCCAAGACATTTCATGTGCTCATGTCCTTTTTGTTCTACTCCATGTAGTTCACAACATTCACCTAGATATTTGTGACAAATCAGTTACAAAACTTTTAGCCACCGCTAACCAGAAAGCTGATTTAAAGTGCCTTAAAAATAGGGACATCTCCAGTAGCAAGGATCATACCTCTTCTTCAGATCTTGGTACCATTTTCTGACCAACTGAGTCAGAGAGAAATCCTTGGAGAAATGGCTGTATCTTGGGGTAGGAATATGCAAGGTGAGTTTAGAGCATCATGTAGTGACAGAAAATAAGATCTTAAAAAAAACCCACATAGATCTTTGTATTTGGGGGTTCTATTTTTTGAGTTCTTTATATATTCTAGGTAGTAGTCCTCTGTCTGAGGAGTAGCTGGTAAATTTTTTTCCCCACATTGTAGGTTGTCTCTTAGCTCTGTTGGTGGTTTCTCTTGCACTGCAAAACCTTTTTTTTTTAAATACAGTGAGATCCCAGTTGTTGATTCTTTGTGCAAGTTCTCATGCTGCTAAGGATTTCTTCATAGTCTTCTCATATGCCAATGTTTTTGAGAGTTCTACCTAATTTACTTTCCAATAAGTTTCGTGTTTCTGTTTTTATTTTTAGACCTTTAATGCATTTGGATTTTAGTTTAGTGCACAGTGAAAGAGAGAGATCTAGTTTTAACCTTTGGCAAGTTGAAAGACAGTTTTTCCAACACCATTTATTAAAGAGGCTACCTTTCTTCCAGTGAGAATGGTTGACTCCTTTCTTTCATATTTGTTTTGTTGGCTTTTATGGAGTTATGGCCTTCATTTTCTTTTTCCAGGATGTTGTTAGAAGTGTTTGGAGTGCTGTTTTGGTGTCCATGAAATTTCTCAGGTGTTCTTTGTCATGGAAGTATCTTATTTCCCCATCAATTTCGAAAGATAGATTTGCAGGATGCATCAGTCTAGGTTGAAGGTTTTCTTTTAGGACTTGAAATACCTCTCTCCAGGCTCTCCTTGACTTGAGGGTTTATATTGAAAAATATGCTGTGATTCTGATTGGATTTCCTTTGCATATGATTTGTTTCTTTTCTCTAACTGCTTGTAGTATTTTGTTCTTCTGTTGGGTTTCCAGGATCTTGATTATTATATGTCTAGGTGTAGATTTTTTTGATCATGGCTAGTTGGAGTCCTCACTTATCTGTATGTCAAATTCTTCCCCTCTGTTTGGGAAGTTTTCTGTCATTAATTCTGTGAACAGTTTTTTTTAATGTCATTTGTACTTTCTCCTGCTACTTCATGGATTCCTATCAGTCCTATACTATTCTTCTTTGCATCATCTAAGAGTTGTTGGATTGATTTATCACAATCTCTTACTGTTTTTAAGAGATCTCTCTTTTCATGGTCACTGACCCTAATCCTATCTTCTATATCTGAAATTCTATCTTCATATTTATTCATTCTGCTGTGAATGCTTTCTACAGAGTTTTAATCTATTTCATAGATTCCGCTTCTTTCCTGTGCTTGGCATTCATGGTTTCCATCATGGTCCTGAGCTCATCTATTTTTTAAAAATCTGTTTCTGTTCTAGTCTGTAATCATATCTTTCATTCTTCTCACCATCTCTGTGATTATCTGTGAAATTATTTCTGTTTTGAATTTTTCTAGAGCCTCATTTATCTGTTTTTTTTACTTTTGATGCTATTGGTTCAGGGTTTCCAGATTGTTGACTGTCAGACTTTTCCACCTCATTTCCCCCAGAGTTTACCTTTGGTGAGGTGGAAGTCTGTGTTTATATATTGTTTAAATGTCTTCTTATTTCTCTTTTTGTTGTTGGTCATGTCCTTGATTTGATTCCTGGGTCAATACTTCAATCTTCCAAATATAGCTGCTCTTTTAGGTTTTGAGTCTCTAATGACTCTGAGACAATCTCATTTTCATTATACCAGGGAGGACAACGGATCAGATCAATCACAGAACCTTAGCCCAAGTGATACAATAGCATCAAGCACAGCTTAGAAAATGACAATTTGTGGTAGTTATTAATCTATCACCTTTAACTGTTTGAATTAGATAAAAGTTGAGGACCAGCCCAAAATATGTTTACAGTGAATAAACTCTTCAATATAGCAACTTTACCCTTCAGGGTAGGGATATAGAAGGAGTTTGGGAGGGAAAGATATATAGATAGGATAGAAAAAGGTTAGAAATGAGGTCAGAGGACACAGAAAGATCACACAAATTTTAGGAAGCCGTTGAAGAGAAGAGGAGAAGACAGAACAAAATATATACAAGAAAAGAACAAACTAACAGTAATAGGGAGGTTAGAGACTGTAATCACTTTCTTTTAAAACTAATGACAATTGAGAGAAGGAAAAACAGAAGAAAAGGAAAAGAAAGGAAATAAATTCAAATTAGGAAAGGAACTGGAACAAAAGGGAGAGTAAGAAAGATCAGGATCAGGGGGGAGAGAGAGAGAGAGAGAGAAAGGAAGAAGAAGAACAAGAAGAACAAGAAGAACAAGAAGAAGATAAAAAGGAAAAAATTTGAGAAAAGAGATAAAAAATTTTAAATGATTAAAGATAAGAGAAAAAATTACTTTAAAAATAAAAAATACAAATAGAAATAGAGGGTCTCCTTCAGGCTATGCCTGTATTGACACAATAGACAGCATGGGCAGGAGTGTGCAGATCTAAGTTAATTAGTCTCAGCAAGCTGGCAGCTGTCCCCTGAGGTTCAGGCTGATTTCTGTCTGCAAGGCCCAAGTTGAGATCTGTGACCTCCTGCTGGGTTGAACTCTGCAAGGTTCTATTGCAGATTCTAGCTGTTTTCACCCTGGAGTTAGACCAGGATCCGATATGAGGTGCTGGTCCCTCTGACTGACCAACTATGGTGCTGTGGTGTGCCTTTATCACAGACTTTCTCCACTTTTCCAGTGGGTTTCAATTTTCACCTAGGAGCTTCAGAGAGGCCCTCTTTCTCTTGTTCACAGGGGTGGGCATGAACACCACAGTGTTGGTGCCTGCACTGCTCGGCTCCCCTGGCCTGCTGGGCCGAAGGGGTGAGCTTACCAGAGGGTCTTGTGCTGCTTCCGTAGCTTGTCCTCTTTTAATTGCACTCTTTTAGGGTCAGAAGGGCCTCCTGGAGGAGGTGAATCATGAGATTGATTAGCTGTTGACCAGACAAGCTTGGATGAATGGAAGGGACAACTATGGGCATATTGGCAATTGTTTATGGACATGCCTGCTTTGCTATAGGCTGTGCTGTGTGTGACAAGGCCCTGCCCCTTTCCCAGCGTGCACTTAGTAGGGGATACATGGGTAAGGGCTGAGGAGAGAGAGACTTGCTCTGCAGTCACTTGTCGACATCAGACCTGGAAGATGCACCATAGAATTCTCAGGGCAGACTGAAATCCATGTTTGCTCCTGCATCTAGCCAAAGCTAAATGTACTTAGGGATGCAAAGTATATCAATTTAAAATATTACATTTATAATAGAAAAAATGGCACACAGATTAAAAGAAAAACCTTTAAGATTCAGATTAAGCATTATATTAAGTCTCCATATGAGTAACAGCCATCTAACTAAGCTTCACTTACCTTGGATAAATTCTTCTCATAATTTCTGCCCATCTCTGCCTCTGTCCTCAATCCCAGCAATTTCACCAGAGGTGACCCTAGAAATGATGTAAGAAGCCTGAAGTTGCCACTTGTCTTGGTTCCACGCAGAACAGATGAACATTCTCCCAGCCGGGCACAGGGTTGGTGTCAGTGAGAGAAGTATTTCCTTCACTGGCAGCAGCCAACAAATCACTGATGGTGTCAGCCCCTGGATCCTTCCCCAGGGTGGATGCTGCCAGTAGCCTGGTGGTTGAGTCTGGTTCTCCTGAAGTCACTCAACAAAATATACAGCCCAGATGCCCTTGGTCCTGGACACGTGACTTCTAGGGTGGAGGTGGGATGACACCAGGCTGTGCATGTTGTCAGGCCTTGCTGTCCTCAGAGGGTCTCCACTCACTCCGTCATTCAGCAGCATATGCTGAGTTTGCTGGACCCTGGGATACAGGCATGAAGAAGGGGGGCTTCCTTCACCTGCTCATTCACTCTCTTGTTTATTCACTGACACAGGCATTCATTCCACATGGAAGAGGTTTTTCTTACACTGGCTCCTGTTAACTATCTTTCCTTAAGGGATGGGGTCTACGTCCACTTTGCTTAAATGCAGATGGACTAGTGACTGCTTCAATGGACAGATCCTGGCAGATACAATGCCGTGTGACTTCTAGGACAGGCTGTCCATACTCAGAACCCGGATGCCACACTGTGAGATGAGAAGCCCAAGCCACAGAGGAATCATACAGCAACTGGATTTTGGTCAACAGTTCAGGCCCACATCTGGACACAGATGTCAGCCAGGCCAGTGAAGCAGTCTCTAGATTCCAGCACCAATCTTTGAGCCACTCCCAGTGGAGGCTCAAGATAAAGTGAAGCAAAGTCAAGCCACTCCCCCTCCGCCTTCTTCAACCCTGTCCTGCAGAGCCCATGAGCATTAGAATGCTGGCTGCTGTGTTATCCACTAAGCACAGCGTGGCTGTCCCCTACCACTAGATAACTGTGTGACGTGTGAATCAGGCTGCCCTCAGTTGTTAGGAGGCAAAGCTATCAAAATGGGAAAAGGAGCCCATTCAATAACTCAACATACGCGCACAGACCACTTTCTCCTCTATTAGATGTGAATTTGGTTGAGTGGGCATGGCTCCTCCCATTTTAGAGGGGGAAACTGAGGTTTAGAGAAGTGGTCTATATGGTTATCTGTAATGTGGCCAAGAAGCCATAAAGTTAGCATTGGAATCAGTGTGTTCAGTTATCTACAGCTTCCACCAGGCCCTCCCCTCTTGCTGCCAAATTAGTTAGGAGCCACTGTGGACAAAGAGGATCAGGTCTCTGGTCTTCCAGGAGGGGCCCCTGGTTGGGGAGGAAGGCAGCAGATTCTTACACTGGTCATAAGAGTTTGACCATTTGTGATAGAGAGCCAAGGCTTTGTGGGGTAAGTGCGGGGTATGGAATTCAGGGAGCACAGTCCTTAAGAAAGGGACGTTTAAGCACAACTCTGGAATGGTCAACTGTTGGATGACTTACTGTCAGTTCATGCCAAACACTTAGCTCAAGTGACAAGTTGTCAGTGCTTTTACCCAATATGTACAAAAATACACATTTTATGTTATGTCCCAGTCAGTACACACACACACACACACACACACACACACACACAGAGCTGGAAACAGTTTATTTGATTATTTGTGCTTCCCATGAGCATCCTATGCTGGTGTGTTTTATTCTGTTTCTTTCTCTGTTTTTGTTAAGAAAATATCAGCTATGATCTTCTACACTTGGCTTCTGATCCATGGTAGTGACTTCCTGTTTACACATTCAGCTCCTTGGTGATGCTACATCCCTTCTAGGTGCTGGGGGCTGGAAGTAAGCAAGAGGCAAATTCTAGTCAGTGAGTCTTGGAGAGATGCAGCTTGGGACTTTGGGGAAGGTTATAGCCTTAGCAGATCCAGAGGGAAAGAAAAAAGGAGAGGAGGGGAGGGCAAAGAAGGGGAGAGGAAGGGGAGAGAAGGGAGGGCAGAGGAGGGATCAGTCCTGTGCACTGGAGTGAGTACTTCCGTTACCTCCGGGAGCCTCGCTGCTCATATTCCCTCACCCCTGAGCCGGGGCAGAGCAGGTGCTGAGTCTTGTCCACGCCACTCGCAGGGAGGGGGCTCCCAGGGAGAATCAGCTCCCAAACACATGAGATGAAGGTTTGAGGAGTTCAACTGGCACCTTTGCCCACCCCCGGGACTGCCGCCTCTCTGGCCTCCTCCAAAGACAGTCACTGGAGACGTTCCCAGAGCTCTCTGCAGCCAGTTGGTGGTTGTTGTCCAAAGGGAAGCCTTTCCTCTCCACATGTCCCTGCATGACACAGCTTCACGGGTAGCGCTCACCCCTCTGCCTTGACTTCCTTCAGATAAACAGTGAGGACACAGACTTGCTGGGAGGCGATGATACCTCAGTCCTGCAAGGAGAGACCTGGGATTTTAATCCAGATCAGACTGACTCCAAATAATCCTCTCACACCATCAGCCATTCCTCCCTTCCTTCTTCCTGGAGAGGGCTCTGGACAAGACAAACATGCAGATAGCTCCCTGGCTGGGTCCTTCCCAGCTGAGATCAGAAAGGTTTCTGACCTTTGAGGCCCGCAGGCTTCTTGGGCTCCTCCTGCTCCCTGCTGCGGCACCGTCTGAGGATGAATCTCACATGCCCTTCTGCAGTGTGACCTTGCCACTGCCAGTCAGGAGATCCAGATGCAGACCAAGTGCAGCCTGTAAGCGCCTGGCAGCTCTGCCTTTTGCCTCTCAGAGCCCCAGGAGGAAGCCCATGAGCCTTGTAAATACTGTTGTGTTTTTCTCTCTAACCTGACTGCCTGGGTTCTAACAAAAGGAAGGAAAATATCCTCCAAATATTCTTAAACTTCAGGGAAGAAGCCCTGAGTTCTAATCCTTTCTCTCTTACAGATTGAGGGAGGTGGGTGTTCTTGATTAGCTATTGCCTCGTAGCATAGCTCTCCCAACTTTGGGAACTAATGGTGCTATGGATTGTCTTTCTTTTTCTTTTTTTTCTTTTCTTTTCTTTGTCCCAGGGATTGAAAGGACTGTCTTCCTTAGTTCGGAGTTTTGGCTGCCTGGATCTCACTTGAGATTTTTATGTGAGCACAGAAAAGGAATGACAGAGGCTGAACTCACAGAAATTTGGCTGGGCAGGCCACTCACAATGGCTCCTCTACCCTCTGCCTCTGGGGCCCCAGGGCTCCAACGTGTGGCTGGAACAGAGGACCCCAAACCTCTTATGTGACAACTTGAGGCTCTGATAGGCAGGAAGTAGAGCTGTCAGTCAGGCAGTTTGGGGCTGTACTTGGATTGGATACCACATCCACACCTGTAAATGACATATGCAGAGCACCTTACCCATCCGTCTCTCCATCAGAGAGCAGAATATTTCCCAGCAGCCCCCGGGGTCTGTTTTTGCACCACATTGAGCAGAACTTCATCACAGGGCTACCCACAGATGCAAACAAGCCTGGGATAATGAGTGTCCAGCAAAAGACCTTCTGGAAACCTTGATTGTCCTAGGCCATTGCCCTCACTTAACACTAAGGTCACCTGAGGAATTTTAAAAGCTACCAGATAGATAGATACCTACTCTGGAGCAACTAAGAATCACGGACAGTGGATTCAGATGAGAGTATTTTTTTCCATTTATTCATGTATTTTGCAATACAAAACAGTGATATTTGTTTTGGGGACTCAGTACACGCCTATAACATATCTTAATCATTTTCAACCCCTTCCTCACCCCCACCCCATACTTCCCTCCTCCCATCTCTGAAGCTCTATTCTTGTTACAAATATGGAATGACACAAATGCGCTTGTCATCCTTGTGCAGGGGCCATGCTAGTCTTCTCTGGATTATTCTAATTTTATATATGTGCTGGCAAAGTGAGCACTAGGTATGAGTATGTATTTTTAAAAACTATACCAGACTACCCTTGTAAATACAGGACTGTTGTCTTGGTCTTGGCTTCTGGGGGGCCCTGGCTGTGTTAGGACCCTGTGACCACACAGCGAATGACCCCAGGAGTCGTGGCTGGTCACACACATTGCCTGTATCATGGCTCCTGGGGGTTGGAGCCTGTGTGTAGCTCAGCTGGGTCGTCTTGTCCTCTGCTTCGGGGGCTCTGATAGGCCACAGTCAAGGTGTCAGCCAGGGGTTGGGTCCCCACTGAAGACCCACTTGGGGAAGGAGCCACATCTGAGCTCACAGAGAAAGTTGTTGGCAGGAAACAATCTTTGTGGGCTGTAGGATGGGCTCGTTCTTACCTAGCTGCTGCTGATAGAAGTCCCTCTGTGTTTCTTCTGTGTTTCTCACCAACATGGTAGCTTGCTTCAGCAAAATGTACAAGCCAGGAAGGAAGCAACAGAAAGAGACAGATAGAGAGAGAGATGATAGAGATGATAGAGAGAGAGAGAGAGAGAGAGAGAGAGAGAGAGAGGTTACAATTTTATGCAACCGAAGCACAGAAATGACATCCCATCATTTTAGTTATACTGAATTAGCTACTAGAAGCAATCCCAGGTCCTGTCTCCATTCAAGGCTAGGGAATCACACAAGTGTAGGGGTACCAAGAGGTGGGGGTGACTGGGACCATTGTAGATATTTTTCTGCCATGCCAGCTAATGCACTCTTAAAAACTACAACTTCGGAAGTAACGTATGGGATTTGGGAAGTTCTACAACAGTTCTGAGGAAAGTTTCTCATGAGTACAAGGAGGCATGTAAAAGGATTTCCATGCTGGGCTGGGATTGATGCCACCTGCCTCCAAAGCACAAGGTCCTGAGTATGATCCCCAGTACAAAAAAAAAAAAAAAA